GCTTACCTCTTTTGAGAGTTAATCGTTGAATCTTCACTACGACATCGTTTCCAAAAAATCGAGTGAAGAAATGACGTGGCAGATATCAAAAAGAGGAACACTTCGTGGTCAGTGGCAGAACTAACCCCTGAAGCGTAATATATTTGTGTATACCAAGAAGCCAGTCTGAAATTTATTTACCTTCGCTACCTGTTTTGCCGCTACCGTCCCACGCCTGCTCTTCTGTGCAATACACAATATGGAACGTGTGTAGATTATGGTACCGTGGCCACACAATACACAGATGTTACTTTATTGTCCTACTGCTGGATGGGCTCAGGGTGGGGAACATCATTATAATAAATACAATTTCAGTTTAAAACACGAAAAAACATTATAACCATTAAAACAACAGGTACAGCCTGAAACAGCGTCAGTTGGCTATCAAGTTCTGGCCCGATGGTTCAGTAAGTTAAAGAAAAAAGATCTGTGACAATTTAGCGCTTGATACTATATTCATAAATCATAATATACAATAACAGAAAATAAGTAATATATATAGTGAATGTGGTCTCTGGAATGGTGTGCCGTTACAATGATTTTCTTCTGAACAAGGGTGTGTACCTTATCAAATACAACAATACAAGTCTCATTTACAATTATATATAACAGTGTGCAAATATATAATATGAATAAGAATAAAAATAGTATGAAACCTTAGTATGTAAGGTTTTGTTATTGTATATTAAAAAGGTAAAGGTTCCCTTGCTCGAAAGCCAGTCGAGTCCGACTCTAGGGTTGCGGTGCTCATCTCCGTTTCAAAGCCAAAGAGCCAGCGCTGTCCAAAGACGTTTCCGTGGTCATGTGGCCGGCATGACTAAACACCAAGGTGCACGGAACGCTGTTACCTTCCCACCGAAGTGGTACCTATTTATCTACTTGCAATTTCTTGCTTTCAAACTGCTTAGTTGGCAGGAGCTGGAACTAGAGACAGGAGCTCACTCCGTCATGCGGCACCCGGGTCTTGAACTGCTGAACTACTGACCTTCCACAGCCTGCAGTTCAGTGTCTTAACCACTTGAGCCACCGCAGCTCCACTATTGTATATTAAGGTTCTGTTATTGTATATTATGATTTATGAATATAGTACCAAGCGCTAAATTGTCACGGTTCTTTTTTCATTGGTCTTATTACTGTGCCCATTCTTGTAACTATTCAGTGAGTTAAAGGCCAGTTGTTGTTGGTCAGTAAATAAACGGGTGACAGCAACCAAAGGCCTGGCGGAAGAGCTCCGTCTTGCAGGCCCTGCGGAATTGAAGAAGATCCCGCAGGGCCCTGGTCTCAATAGGGCGCATGTTCCACCAGGCTGGGTCCAGGACAGAGAAAGCCCTGGTTGAGGCAAGACGGGCGTCCTTCGGGCCAGGGACTACCAGGAGGTGTGGATCTTTTGAGCGTATATGTGAGGAGGCGGTCCCTTAGATATGATTGTCCCAGGCCGAATAAGGCTTTAAAGGTCAAAACCTTGAAGCGAATCCGGTACTCCACTGGCAACCAATGCAGTTGGCGGAGCACGTGGCTAACATGAGCCCACACAGTCATATGTCCCCAATGTATTTGCAGGACCATCTCCTCCAATATGTCCCCGGGAGAGCTCCTCGGATAATAACCTACTGGTGATCCCCGGCACTAAAGACATCTGACTGTTCTTGACCAGGCAATACGGAGAACAAGAAAAACTGTGGAAAAGTGATGCTTAATATATGCCTTTAAAGAATCATAGAAAAGTGAACAAAAATAATATACATAATAATAGAAAAATATATTGACGGCGATCTCCGGAATGTCTTGCCGTTTCGAATCATCTTAGCCCATGGCAGGTGCTACTATACATTACAGCTGTTATGATTATTGGTGAGTTTTCTATACATAAAATCTCCTTTGATAATTGTGAGACGTCACCAGAGGATATGAACTACTGAGAGACAGTTTTTGTCCCACATCTTTGTTCAGGAGAAGATCTTCCTTCGAAACGGCAAGACATTCCGGAGATCGCCGTCAATATATTTTTCTATTATTATGTATATTATTTTTGTTCACTTTTCTACAATTCTTTAAAGACATATATTAAGCGTCACTTTTTCACAGTTTTTCTGGTTCTCCGTATTATTTCATTACTGTGCCAATCAAGCACAGATGTTCCGCCTCTTGACCAGGGCCAAACACCATCAGGGTCCTGTGGAATCTTATGCAATTCCGCAGGACCTGTAAGGCACAGATGTTCCGCCAGGCTTTCGGTGGAGGGCAGCGATGGTTTAAATCTTGGCCAGCATCCTCCTCCCTCTACTCTCCTTCTTCTCAGATGGTTTTACTTTCTCCCCCACATCCACGAGACGATCAATGGGTCGGAAATGGGAGAAAACTGTAATTTTTGCCACTTTATTTTTAAAAAAATCATGTATCAATATTAATACTGTTTGTATCTATTTTATAGTTTTAATGTTTTTACTATGTTGCAGAGGTCATTTCCTGCAGGAGCGCATAGGAGCGGAGCTCTGGCAGTAAAGAGCCCAGGGGGCGGGCACATGCAACAAGCCCCGCCCCCTGCTCCCAGCAGCCCCAGGCCATGAGGAACAGGAACCCCTTTCTTTCTTTCTTTCTTTCTTTCTTTCTTTCTTTCTTTCTTTCTTTCTTTCCCTTTCTTTTTTTCCCCCTCCCTCCTCCCTCCCTTCCTTCCTCCCTGCACAGATCTGCGCGTTCCACCCCAACCAGCAATCCAAAACAGTCCAGTGGCACCTTTAAGGCCAAGGTTTATTCAGGTACAAGCTCTCCCTTCTCTGTTAGGGCAGATCTGCACATCCCCCCCCCCAATAGCTAGCAATCCAAAACAGTCCAGTGGAGCCTGAGCGGTGGGTGTTGCCTTCTGACACACTTCTGGTGATGTCAGGGTGTGTGGCATATGCAAATAAGTTATGCTAATGAGCTGTGCTAATGAGCTCCTGCACCTCTTTTTCTATGAAGTGACCCCTGCTATGTTGTATATCACCCAGAGCCCTACAACAGTAAGGATCAGGCAATTCATAAATGTAATATAATAAAGCATTTCAATGGGATGAAGTGACCACGTACGTTCACCCACCATCAACCCTGTTTACGAACTCCTCGCAGATCCTTCTGACGTGGGGGTGCCTTGATACGTTTTTATGCCGATGTTCTTTCTCCTGAGATGGAATCTTTTTGTTCTGGCATCTTTTCCCTTGTGATAATATGTTTCATTTCCTGAGAAAGCTTCACTGGCAGAATGGCAGAAGTCATTTGTTTCCGTGATTTTGGAGCTACTCCATTAAGTCGCGAAGTTTTCACCCATCACAGATCGTATCTGGCCAGATCCCTGCCTTCCCTTGCTCTGCTCACTTGCATATCAAGGGGAGGGGCATCCCGTCAAAAGCGTTCCCTTCAAATGACATTTTATTTCAGGCCAAAGGCCTCTCCCCAAAGAGTGCCGGGGAACAGCTGAGCAGAATCTGCAAGGAGGCATAAGCCAAATGACCAAGAATGGCTGCCCACCAAAAAGGTTCCACAAAAGCACAACATTGATCTTCCACGGATTAACTGTGACAATAAACCACAAGTGACAATCCAATGGCTAACAGCAAGAAAATCTATCCTGGTAGCTTCGAGAGCCAGTTTGGTGTCGTGGTTAGGAGCGCAGACTCTAATCTGGGAGAACCGGGTTTGATTCCCCACTGCCATAAATCTTGTTACGTCTTTCGAGTACTACTGGACTCTTGCTCTTTTCTACTGCTAAGGACAGACTAACACGGCTACCCATCATGGTCTATCCCGAAATTGTGTGTGTGTTTTTTCCTATGGCTTCAAAATGTTTGGAAACTTTGCATCTCTAGTTGTAAAGCCGTTGGACAAAGACTGGTTTTCTTTTAGAATGAGAGCAGACGCTCAGCTCGGCCACGGGCAGCCCGCGGAGTGCAAGGGAGATGACAACATTGCTACGCACATTAACAGACTATATATTATTTTATTTTATTTTTTTATTTCGTGTAAGCTAAGAGGAAATTTATACACTGAAATTTCAAAAAGACCTTGAGCATGCACATAAACCTTGTCAGAGGTTGTTTTCTACATAGCATTCTCTTTTTTTTTCCATAGGAATTTCCCCGAACATTTACAACCCATAGTTTTACTGTACATACAGCTTAAACCATAGCAATCTATGATTATGTCAATTTACACTGTGCAAAAATCAAAAAATAGTGGTACGACAGGAAAAAAAAAACCTGTAACAGGTATATTTCATTGTAAGACATTCAGATAGCTTTTTGGTCCTTCCGTTCCAAACCAAAATAGATTTTTTTTTAACACGTAGATCCCCAAAATCAAGTAATTAGGCAGTGCTCTATAACTTAGCTAAAGATGACAGTAAACCTTATGAGAGGCAATGATAAATCCAGACTTCCAGGAGACAGGAAGCTAAAAGAAGGAAAAGAAAATCAATCCACCCAACCCACCCCAAAAGAAAAACAACAGAAGGATCTAACGAAACCACTGAAAAGACCCTAACCTTTTCGGCTCATTGAGCAAAAATGCTTCCAGGAAAAGGGGGTGGAGAAATACAACTCATTCTGAAAAGAAAACATTTCGGGGGGGGGGGGGTCAAAGGGACCTGGAGTTTTCCAGACTGGAAGTTTCCAGTTTTTTTTTTTATGTTTATAAAGTTTTGTAAGAAGGACACCACCAGTGTATTCCACAAAGACGTAAATGTTTACACCCCAGCACAAAAAAAAGGATAAATCTTCAAAAAAGATTCAAACCTCCCCAAGTTATTTACACTTTTTTTTTTCTAATATAAATTTAGGACTCCGGTATGTAAATAAATATACATATCTATGTATACCTTTCTAGTGCTGCTTACCAACAAATCAGCTGAACTCGAATTTTTTTCCAAGGAAAGCAAAGATCGCTTTTAGAGGACCCGGAAAAGGA